AGGAAGGAAGGTTTGGAGATTTTGACCCTCACGGGATATATCGAGAGTAAGACAAACAGAGGAAAGCAACGGGTTTCCTACCTACTGAGCTTGTATGAATAAATGGCATAGCAGGAGGCTTGCAAAGGTAAACACTATGCTAAGGGCTGCCAAGGATAGGATGTTGTAGAGGGACATGTCACACAAAAAAGATTGAACCCTCTCATTCTCATATTACTATGATACTGTAGGCGCTTATCTCTCTTCGGTGGAGATAATTCATGTGGGTCACATGACAGCCACACCATACAGCAACGAAAGCGCTGGTCATTTTCATTTTGTTTACAGAAGCCATTACTTGAGGTTGTTTTCTTCTAGCCTGGCCCAAACCTGCCTACTCCAGCAGTTTACAAGTCCATGGTGCCATTTCCCATTTGGGGATATATCTTTCCCAGATATAAAATGAAACCCCAGCTCGCAGTCCTCAATTTGGGAAAACCCAAGACTCCCGTTCGTGAAGTTCACCTGGGGCATAGATGAATCCCGCCCATTTGAATCTGAAGTCTGAAACATGGCTTCTCCAGACACAGGAACATCTCCCTATTATATATAAGAACCATCCTTTTTCTTTCTTTACACTCTGCTTTACTGTGTAGATATTATTCTCTGCGTGGGACGCTTGTATATATGTATATATTTTTGTGAATATCTTAATGATATAAAAGTCTCTCTGAGAACAAAGCATGTTCGTAATTCCTTTCAGCCATTCCATTCCATCCGTGAATTACATTGTTATTATATCATGGATATAATAATGCCCATAATGGGAGAAATAAAACAGGAGAATAAATCTTACTACTATAGCTTCCTTTCGTTTCAATACTATGCCACACAGATGTCTGCCATTTTATAGTAAGCAAATAAAATGTTCATACACATCTTCTTTACTCAGAGTTTCATAGAAATTGTATTTACTCATCTGCCAGTTTGATAGACTGAATGTATATTGGCAATAAACTGACTATATTTGTTATGATAATTTATACATGGCTAGTCCATCTGCTTGGTTTAATATGCAGCTAATCTCTGTCTGTCTGGTTTACACACGGCTATTCTATCCACTAGGCTTCCAAAATTTCTATTTTTGTTACTTTTCTTTTACAAAAGGCCAATATAACTAAAGGTTTACTTCACACTCTGAAGAAAGAATATAAAGCAAAGAAACATGTCATCACCTGAGATTAAAAAGGTTCTACTTGCAATTTTCAACTTATATATATATATATATATATATATATATGTAGTCAGTTATGTGCCATGAGTGATACACACTCAAGCGATCATGTATCTTTCGATACATGACTGACGAGGCAGATTTTTTTTATTCCCGCTGTAGGTTGCCATTTCTTTCTGCGGTAGACCAGTTGCCATCCAAAGCTATAGAACCCAGTCTGTCCTGCTATTTACCCATAGCTGGTGGGGAGAAGAGGATTCATACCTTTCCAAAGAGTATTAGCACGTAAGTGAATGCAATGGATTCGAATGGATTTCGAACTTGTCTCTTTGATTCCTCAATCAGAGCTGCTATCCATTACTCCTTTTTCCCGCAGAAGGTTGCCATTTCTTTCTGCGGTAGACCAGTTGCCACCCAAGGTTATAGAACCCAGTCTGTCCTGCTATTTAACCATAGTTGGTGGGTGAAGAAGAGGATTCATACTATTCCCAAGAGTATTAGCACATAAGTGAATGTCTAGGAAGCACAGTGGAGTAATGGATAGCGGCTTGGATTGAGGAATCGCAGAGCCGAGTTTGAATTCCAGTCAAATCCATTACATTCACTTCATCATCAGTGCTGTTTCTTCACTGGCTGTACGCCATATTGGATTGTGCTACATTCGCTATATCTTGTTTGTTTCAGGGTTTTTTTGTGTGGGGGGCCTCTTGACCTTTATTATGGCTCCCAAACGTAAGGCAGACTCATGGGTGCTTATGTAAGTGAGTTCCAACCTACATCTAAAATCAGGTTACGCCGCACCGTGGGAGTGGATCTCCGACATAAGTCAAGGACCCTTTGCAGTTATAGTGTTCTCTCTGCAGCGCCTATATATTGCCACTTAAGTTTTGTACAAAAATCTTTATTTAATCCCGAGAAAATTCTATACAGTATGTAAAGACATGTTTCTGACAATTTTAATTTCATGTTCCTACATCCTCAAAATAACCGATCTCTGCCTGGTTTGATGTCAAAGGTCAAGGCTTGTGAAAATCTCACACATGGTTATTTTGGGGTCTGGGAACAACTGGAATCTTTTCCCATTTAATGTTAATTAATTCTTCACATTACACCAGTCAAGTCAAGGAGAAGACATATATGGGAGAATATGATATATAAACTCTATATATAATCTTACAGCCATACCACGTTGAAACACTGGTTTTCGTATGACCAGTGAAGTTAAACAACATCGAGCCTAGTCAATACTCAAATGGGTAACTGCCTGGGAATACCAATTGCTGTAAGCTCAGATAAACAGATATATTATCAGAATAAAAATATATAGAAACTACCATGACCACAAAGTGATGGGTTAGTTTATATATTGATTTTAATGTAGAATTGATCTCCCACTTTATATCCACATTATAATTTCTTTTATCAGATTCTAATTAGGTGTGAATCCACCAACTTCTGCCCACAGCTATGGGTTAATTAGTAAGATTTTTATCACTGAATCATCATATCTCAACAAAAAAATTCTTACAATCTAAAAATATTTTCTTGATTTAAATAACCTACAAAGGGTTGATAAGCCATAAAAAATGAATGAATCGATCAAAAAAACAGACTTAGCTTCTGCAGATGCACAAAATATCCAAAACCAAGGCCATGTTTCAGCTTTAAACTCACATGAGTCATCTTCATGGATGCGTACAAAGTTAAAGTGAATTGGATAAATGCTAAAAGTTTTTTTGTTTTTTGTTTTTTTGACTATGTGCTGAGGTGTCAGTCATGAGCAATTATTTTTTATAAGTTCATGGTATTCTCAGCATCCTTCTGTGATTTTTACTACATTTCTTTTTATCTTTCAAGTTATGTAAATGCATTGGCCAGTGATTTTACTATGTAAATATTGGCCAGTGATTTTATATGTAAATGCATTGGCCAGTGATTTTTAATGCAAATTGGCCAGTGATTTTTACTATGTAAATGCATTAAATGCCAGATTTTTACTATGTAAATGCATTGGCCAGTGATTTTTACTTTTTGCATTGGCCAGTGATTTTTACTATGTAAATGCATTGGCCAGTGATTTTTACTATGTAAATGCATTGGCCAGTGATTTTTACTATGTAAATGCATTGGCCAGTGATTTTTACTATGTAAATGCAAATGCATTTTATGTAGTGGGCCATTTTTTTACTATGTAAATGCATTGGCCATGATTTTTTACTATGTAAATGCATTGGCCAGTGATTTTTTACTATGTAAATGCATTGGCCAGTGATTTTTTACTATGTAAAATGATTTTTTTACTATGTAAATGCATTGGCCATGATTTTTACTATGTAAATGCATTGGCCAGTGATTTTTACTATGTAAATGCATTGCCAGTGATTTTTTACTATGTAAATGCATTGGCCAGTGATTTTACTATGTAAATGCATTGGCCAGTGATTTTTTACTATGTAAATGCATTGGCCAGTGATTTTTACTATGTAAATGCATTGGCCAGTGATTTTACTATGTAAATGCATTGGCCAGTGATTTTTTCTATGTAAAAATGCATTGGCCATTTTTATGTAAATGCATTGGCCAATTTTACTATGTAAATGCATTGGCCAGTTTTTACTATGTAAATGCATTTTACTATTTACTATGTAAATGCATTGGCCAGTGATTTTTACTATGTAAATGCATTGGCCAGTGATTTTTACTATGTAAATGCATTGGCCAGTGATTTTTTTTTTAACTATGTAAATGCATTGTGTGATTTTTTACTATGTAAATGCATTGGCCAGTGATTTTTACTATGTAAATGCATTGGCCAGTGATTTTTACTATATAAATGCATTGATTTTTTACTATGTAAATGCATTGGCCAGTGATTTTTTACTATGTAAATGCATTGGCCATTTTTTACTAATGCATTGGCCAGTGATTTTATATTGTAAATGCAGTGATTTTACTATGTAAATGCATTGGCCAGTGATTTTTTTAAAATACAATGGCCAGTAAAATGTAAATGCATTGGCCAGTTTTTTACTATGTAAATGCATTGGCCAGTGATTTTACTATGTAAATGCATTGGCCAGTGATTTTTACTATGTAATGCATTGGCCGGTGATTTTTACTTGGCCAATGATTTTTTACTATGTAAATGCATTGGCCAGTGATTTTTACTATGTAAAATGCATTGGCCAGTGATTTTACTATGTAAATGCATTGGCCAGTGATTTTTACTATGTAAATGCATTGGCCAGTGATTTTTTACTATGTAAATGCATTGGCCAAATGATTTTTTACTATGTAAATGCATTGGCCAGTGATTTTTACTATGTAAATGCATTGGCCATGATTTTTACTATTAATGCATTGGCCAGTGATTTTACTATGTAAATGCATTGGCCAGTGATTTTACTATTGCATTGGCCAGTGATTTTTACTATGTAAATGCATTGGCCAGTGATTTTTACTATGTAAATGCATTGGCCAGTGATTTTTACTATGTAAATGCATTGGCCAGTGATTTTTACTATGTAAATGCATTGGCCAGTGATTTTTACTATGTAAATGCATTGGCCAGTTTTTTACTACTATGTAAATGCATTGGCCAGTGATTTTACTATGTAAATGCATTGGCCAGTGATTTTTTACTATGTAAATGCATTGGCCAGTGATTTTTTAATGTAAATGCATTGGCCAGTGATTTTTTACTATGTAAATGTAAATGCATTTTACTATGTGATTTTGATTTTTACTATGTAAATGCATGGCCAAATTTTTTCTATGTAAATGCATTGGCCAGTGATTTTTTACTATGTAAATGCATTGGCCAGTGATTTTTTACTAAAATGCATTGGCCAGATTACTATGTAAATGCATTGGCCAGTGAATGTAAATGCATTGGCCAGTGATTTTTACTATGTAAATGCATTGGCCAGTGATTTTTACTATGTAAATTTTTACTATGTGCATTGGCCAGTGATTTTTTACTATGTAAATGCATTGGCCAGTGATTTTTACTATGTAAATGCATTGGCCAGTGATTTTACTATGTAAATGCATTGGCCAGTGATTTTACTATGTAAATGCATATGATTTTTTACTATGTAAATGCATTGGCCAGTGATTTTTACTATGTAAATGCATTGGGTAAATGCATTGGCCAGTGATTTTACTATGTAAATGCATTGGATTTTTTACTATGTAAATGCATTGGCCAGTGATTTTTACCATGTGATTTTTATATGTAAATGCATTGGCCAGTGATTTTTACTAAAAATGCATTGGCCAGTGATTTTACTATGTAAATGCATTGGCCAGTGATTTTTACTAAAAATGCATTGGCCTATGTAAATGTGATTTTTACTATGTAAATGCATTGGCCAGTGATTTTTACTATGTAAATGCATTGTGAGTGATTTTACTATGTAAATGCATTGGCCAGTGATTTTTACTATGTAAATGCATTGGCCAGTGATTTTTACTATGTAAATGCATTGGCCAGTGATTTTTACTATGTAAATGCATTGGCCAGTGATTTTTACTATGTAAATGCATTGGCCAGTGATTTTTACTATGTAAATGCATTGGCCAGTGATTTTTTGTAAATGCATTGGCCAGTGATTTTTACTATGAAATGTGAAAGCATGTAAATGCATTGGCCAGTTTTTTACTATGTAAATGCATTGGCCAGTGATTTTTACTATGTAAATGCATTGGCCAGTGATTTTTACTATGAAAGTAAAGCATCTTCCTGAGCATAATTATCGTTTTTGTTGCCATTGTCCCTAGAACTTTGTTGTTGTTTACATGTTTGGTCTATGGTATCCTCCTTAAATCAAAGAACTTGACTCAACAGCTTGTGATGTCTGGACTCACTATCAATAATTTGTGAGATCAGTATTCTTTTCACTCCACTCATCAGGACTTCTTTGAAGAAAAGTTTAATTCAGTTAAACTCTCTCTCTCTCTCTTTCTCAATATTGATCATCACCTTTCTGATTGTTTTAGTATAAATCTATTTTTGTTTCAATTTATACTGATCTTTCATGAGCCATTGTTACAGTGTAGAGGGGGGCATTGTCTGAGCAAATTACTGAGTCAGATTTCTCTGACATAAAACAAAATTACATTCAGAGAGGGAAGCACACTTGCTTTCATTTTCTCATTAAACATGAGGAAGGGGTGGTGAAAGGTGTTCAGCCCCACCTGACCTTTGACTTCTTATTTGATAATAACCATTCTTTGTTCGTCATACACAATACTTTTATTATCATCCCTTTGGTTATTTTCCTTTCACTGCAACAACCAGAGAGATGATGTCAGTTGGGGCAAAGCTAATTAATATTTCTTTTAATTAGAGAGCTACCTGCCCACGATAACTGACCTCTTAATTCAAGTAATCAATCCCCCTATATGGCAGCGAATGCTGAACAATCTCCGCACAAATGAAGAAGACACTTACAGCAACAGAAATATGGTTCTACAGAAGGATGCTGAAAATGAACAGAGCATGTAAGCAACTAGGAAGTGTTAAGGACAATGGAAACAAAAAGGACACTTCATCAAAAGCAAAAGAGGGTGTAGGGAGAGACACTGGGCCACCTACCTGACAAGTTCGTGCAAAGGGATAGCAGAATGGGGAATAGGAGGTATGGCTAAGAGCTACAAAAAATAAGAAGTTGTGGAGAGCCATGATTTGTGACATTTTGGAATGGACACATCACATAGAAGAAAATATTATTATTCTGCTTGTTTCTGTGTGCAATTGTAACACTTTTCTGCTGACAATCAGTGTAGTATTTGTTCAGTATCCGACTCTGAAATCAGGTTTTTTGACCAAAAATCATGCTGCAATTCCATCTTAATATTATTATTATACACTAGCCGAATGACCCACACCTTGCTGCATGTCACACATTTTTTTTTTGGTAAGAAAATGATTGATTTTAAATCACTGTTATAATTTGTAAAGAAAAATAATGAATTTCAATATTGCTCAATAATCTTGCAGATGTGACCTGCATCTTCTGGCTTTCTCCTTTTATATTTTGGATAGGAATCATTCCCTTGTTCAAATTTAAATTTTATTTAAATCAAAGGAAAAAAAATTCAGTGCAGGGGTTGTACCCACCAGAGACTCCCTTTGATCAAAATAAAATATACTTATCTAAGTACCCTGGGTAATGTAGTTTCAGAATATATTTGATTATAGAGGTCTATCTCGAAAACCCTAGGAGGAGTTCGATAACAAGCAAACAGACAGAAGCTACAATTTATATATGATTCAAGCCAGA